CAGTGTTTGCGTGGCTTGGCGCTGCTTCAGTGCTGTCATGAATCATGAGATATTTGGCCCAGACGCAGGGGTGTCCGAAATCCGGCAATACCCTCACAGCATGGAATAATACGCTTCCTGACCGTCGAACGCTTCGATTGGAACGGCGTGCCAATTCAAATGTTTGACGAGGCTTGTGGGCCTGGCGTCGTGCCGCATTGGGCCGCCAGAATACAGTCGGACCTGGGCCCGAGGAACATCCTTCAAGAACACGAGACCATCCGTCGGCCAAAGCGCCTGAAACCCTGAGATCACTTGAGGGTACCCTCCCCCAGGAACATCCAACAAGCACGAAGAACGCTAGGGTTCCCTCCCCGAGCCGACCTCGATCTTACACATCGATCCGACTGTTTGCCATGCGCCGTCCTCATTCTCCTTCTGGGCATCCCTGCCTCCTCCTCCTCCTCCTACTCCTCCTCCTGATCGTCCTCTCCTAATCACATTGTCCCCTTGATCAACCTCTACTCGCCCTCGTCCACATCCTATTCTTATCATCCCTCCCACCCATTCTCCACATCCCTCCCTTGCCCTCCACCCTCTCCAATCCATTCAGACACACGGGTATGAGATCGGTGGGTTCAAAGTCGGGCTGTATGAGTTAGTGTTGGTGGCTGCTGAATCGCGCAATTGAGATAGGATCTCGATTGAGCGTCGCTCTGCTCACGGCTATGCCATCATCACCTCACTCAAAGCAAGGACCAAATGCCATTAGGAAGAGGAGTCTGTCAATCAAACCGGTCATGCTATAGCACTGAGACCGACCAGACTGGTTCGGGCCTGCAAGGTTGCGGAACTCATTTAACGCCCACTTCGGCACTAGGGACGGCGGCTCATTAACGCCTCTATGGTCTGCAACAACGAAAGCTGGCCCTGCTCCTTTCACAAGCATCCAAGCAAGGATCAGACCCTATGCAGCTGCGTGCATTGGTCCTCACAAGAGGCTGCGATTATGACGAGTATGATGATTGGTGATGAACGAGGCGATACGTGAATAGTGAAGGTTGGGTAGTGATGTAGGTGATGATGCTGATGCAGGTGATGGTGGCGATGTCGATGTCGATGTCGATGCCAGTGGTGATGACAATGATGATGCTGATGATGATGATGCTGCTGATGATGATGATGCTGATGATGATGCTGATGCTGATGCTGATGATGGTGGTGGTGGTGATAGTGATGGTGATGATAGCTACAACCTCCTGGATTACAAAGTCTGGATCGGCCCTGAAAGGCTGCTTGCATCGTCGCTCTCCAATTGAACTTGGAGCATCGACCCTCGATGGGTCCTGGGCGCCCGATGTCAGCCATGGCCTCCGAGACGAGCCCAAGACAAGGCCGCGCGCCAAACAACGGCAAGACACCGCAGAGCAGCGATCACCAGAAACAGAAAATTCTGTTTAGAATCGCGCGCTCCCAGACAAGTAAACACGCGTTGCATAATATTCCAGACAGCGACGATACTTCAAAGCAACATATCTCGGGCCGGATTTGTTTGTGAGAAAATACTCAGCGAAATCGCAGATTTCCGAACGCGGTCGGACATTTTTGAAGCAAGTATTGGGCGGAATGCGAATTTCCGATCGTCGCCCCATTTTGCGATTCTAATATTAAGAGGGATGAGGCATGGATCGGAAATTCGCCATGGCGGTGTCTGCAACACTGTACCGGGGCCCCGCCGCCTAACGGGACACGCTCCTCGCTGAAATTCCGCGACCTCTGCGGTCAGGACTTTTTAATCGGGCGGCTGTATGCGACTGATGATAATCATGGTGCTGATGATGATGCTGATGATGATGATGATGACGGTGATGACGATTGATGGTGATGATGGTGTTGATGAGAATGATGCTGATGCTGATGCTGAGGCTGATGCTGCCATGCCCTGGCCCGCCCAAACGCCCCGCCTCTGCACGCCCTTCGCCAGCGCCTCGCAGAACCTCTTCGACTGCGAGAGCTGCTGTGCGAGCGTGACTGCGACGCCGTCGGAGATCTTCGACAGCTCCTCTAGAGAGGGCCATCACGCAACACAGAAAGATGCGCTCGGAGGCAGGCGCGGCTTCCCTGGATCTGCGCTCAAACCCCCCTCCCTGGCGAGCGGAGCGCACCAGGGGCGGTCCTGGAGGCGCTGCCGCGCGGGAAGCCAGCGCACATCCAAGAAATCCGCGCGGAGCGCCAACAAGATGTTTGTGGTGTCTTTCCCCGTTCGATGTATCGCAATCGAAGCACATCGGTCTGGGCAGAGTCGGTATCGACTCGGATCGGATCGGATCGGAGTCGGTATCGACTCGGAGCCGGTATCGACTCGGTCTCGGAATCCACGCGGCCCTCCGAACGTTTCTGCTTGCGGCAGGCTCGTGCTGTGACGACCTGCGCGTTGGCTCCTCTGACGCCGCGTGGATACCCTCCCACCCTGGGAGCGATCGCGACCTGCTGGCAGCGCACACACCGTGCGACACCGGCCGGACTCAGGGCCCCATGGCGGCCGCCGCCGCGCCGGCACGGCACAGACCTGCCGAGCAGTCCCGCGGCAGCTGCCGCGGGGCCCGCGCCATCCCGTGGGCTCTTGCAGCCGGACGTTACTCGCCGCCAAGTCGACGCCGCAGCGGCGCTGGAATCGACGCTGTATTTCGGCGCCACCTCATCGATTCCCAGACGCTCATTGATGCCAGTGCGCACCATCAAGACGGGAGCACGAGGGTACACGAGGCTCCCATGATCTGCTACCGAAGTGTGCAGTCTTCTCTACTGGGGGAATCAACGAGTACCGATACCGCTACACCTCGGACCTCTCCCGGGGTGCGCTCTGACCAGAATTTCGAGGCGAATCCAGCGGTGGCGACGAGGGCCTCCGAGGAGGCCCAAGAAGAGGAAACCGAGGAGAGGGTAGAGGTATAGGCACCTTTTCCTCCCCTGATCCCATGATCTGCTGCCAAAGCGTGCCGCTCTCCCTGCTGCGATCCTTCTGCAGCATGGTGGTGACCGCCAGCGACGACTGCTCGGCCCACGAGTCCGCGGCCCGGCGCACTGCGCTCTGCAAGCCCCGCTGGCCCGCGGCCTGGGCTTCGCGCGCCTCGGAGACCTTCGCGAGCGCCTGCTCGAGCGCCGCGAGGTCCGCGCTGGCGGCCCCGCCGGAGGCGAGCGGCTTGATCGTCTCCGCCACCTTTTGGTGGCGACTCGCAGGAGCCTCCCATGCCCGGGGGCGCGCAAACACGGATTAGCGATCCATGGATTTGGCGCGCGGTCGCCAAATCCATGGATCAGACGAGGTGCCCTCCCCAAAATGCGGCCTGTGCCGCCTCGTTCGGCGGCGGGGATCTGCGATTTCCCATGGAAACGGGACCCGTCGCTAATCCACGCCCCCTTGATCCATGTTTGCGATCGCCTGACATACTATCTTGCTGGCTCTTGCGCATCGACGCTGGCCGACGCTAATCGACGCGAGTCGGCGCGAACCGTTGCGAAGTCGACGCCAAAGCGGCGCTCTGTCATCGACTGCCAGACGCCAGCGCACACCAATGCAATCTAGAGATGGGCTTGCGAGGACACATAGGGCTCCAATTATTTGCTACCGAACCACCTCGCTGACCATCGTGTCCGCCAGCTCGCCCCGCCTCTGAGCATCGTTTGACCGATCCACGTCCCCACTGTCGGCCCCACTGGAAGACTTACCCACATGGATGGGGATATATGGTCCCGGGTCGAGAGCTCACAGGCCCCCCGCCCCCCAGATGGGATGGGCCCCAAGGGTTCCACAGGCCCCGCCCCCCAGATGGGATGAGGAGACGACGACGACGACGACGGCGACGGCGACGCCGATGCCGACGCCGACGCCGACACCAACGCAGACGCCGATGCCGACGGAAACTGACGAGGACGACGACGACGACCACGACCACGACGACGACGACGACGACGACGACGACGACGACGACGACGACGACGACGACTACGACGCCGACGACGACGACGCCGACAACGACGACGGCGACAACGACAACGACGACACAAGACGACGACGAAGACGACGACGACGATGAACCACCCCACACCCACAGGGGGAGGGGGGGCACTGGCACCCACCACCACGCCACGCCCACGGGGCCACGACCACAGGAGGGGGGGAGCGGTCCCATTCGCGAGAACCTTCGAACTTGGTTTCGGAACGCTCTCGGCGAAAGCAGCGGAACGTCCACCCTCCACGACGCCACGCCCACAAATCCATGACCAAAGGGGGGGAGCGATCCCATTCGCGAGGCCTTCACAAAACTCGCTAGCGTGCCCATCCAACGATGGGGGGGAATATGATGCCATTAGCATGTGGGGGGGGGTAGCCCTGGATCAAATATGCCTATTCCTTCGGGTGTCGCGGGACCTATCCCCACCTAGGAGGGTGGGCTGGTGGAGCTGAGGTGCTACGGCCCAGTGGGGACGGGGCTAGGTGAGACGATGCTGAGGAACCAACGGACATCATAAGCATAAATCTGCGGAGGTCCCCGCGGATTTCTTGGACCGGCGCTGTACACCCTTGCCTGGCGCGCTCCGCGCGCCAGGGGTGGCGCTGGGTCCAGCGCCGATCCAATAAATCCGTTCGGATCACCGAACGCATGTTTGTGAAAAATAAAACGTTACACTTTGGACTGAAGCAAGTTTACTTGCACGGCGTGCGTTTCCACCCCCCCCGCCCCCTCCCCCTTCCGCCGCCTTTTCACATTGAACTGGGCCGAAAACGGCGTGCAAGCGAGTCCCGTTCTAGGTGAAGTCCCACTTCCTGTCAGGCCTCGCCACGCTCCCCCCTCATCCCCCCTCCACGCCATGCAAGCACGTAAACTTGCAGAAGCGTAGACCGAAAAAAGACTCTCATGTGTGCTTCTCTGCGGGCCTCTTCTCCAGCCCCTTCACGAACGACGCGGCCACCGCCCGGATGAACCCCCAGTTGAGGTCCGGCGGCTCTTGCTCGGGCGCCGCGGCGGCCGCGCTGTCCTCCCCGCCAGCCGCGTCCGAGGCCGCGCCGGCCGCGCCGTCGTCCCCCCCCTGCGGCGCGGGCGTGTCCTGGGGCGCAGCAGGACAGACACCCACTTTCGAAACTTCTGTTGGACCTGCGTCGTGGGAAAGTTTTCGCGGGCGCGCCGCTGGATGCCCCCAAGGGGGGTAGGGCGGAGTCCTTGGTCCGTCGTGGGCGGACGCCCCCACTCCCCCCCTTTCCCGATCCGTCGTCGGCGGACACCCCTCCCCCTCCCTTTTCAAAAAGGGTAAGGGGGGGGTTCGAACTCCCGCCCTTCCCCACCCTTTACTCCGGAACCCTAGCTCCGGACCCCTACCCCCGCACCCTGACTCCCGAAGCTTAAACCCCCGAGCCCTAACCCTAATCCCTTACCCGAATCCTAACCCTAATCCATCACACGAACCCGAAATCTAACCCTGACACCCTAACCCTCACCCACCCAAACCCTTACCCTCACCACCCCCACCTCCGCCCTCACTCCAACCCGAACCCGAACACTAGCCCAATACCGGATTCGACCCGTAACCCGAAGCTCCAACCCCGAACCTTGATCCCGAAACCCCACTCTCTGACCCCTATCTGACACTCACCGTAAACCTAGAACTAAGCGTAGTACCCTAGCTAACCCGAGCCCCCTGACTCCCTCTCCCTAACCCTAATGCCCGAACCGTAACCCCCGAACCCTAACCTTACACCTAACTCGAAGCCGAATCCTACCGTCGTAACCCTGGCCCCCATTAGCCCCCAAACCCCCGAACCCGAACCATAACAGCTGAACCCTCACCCGTCCCATTACCCGATCCCCTTAATCCTTGCTTCCTATGATTAAACACCCCCACACCCCCACCTAGCCGGCCGATAGCAACCTCGCCGTCCTAGCTGTCACAAAACAACACAAACTCATTTGTTCCTCGCCAACATGTCGTCCAGTTGCGACAAATGTACCAGGAATGGGACGACATGAACATCGCTTGGGTAACTGGAAGCGGGCGGTCGCGTCCTACCCATCATCAAACAATTCAAGCTCAACGTTTGTCTCGTCAGCATGAACTGTCTTGTCGTCGACGCTGCGAAAAATGTAGTAGGAATGGGGCGCGGCGCACATCGCGCGCGGACGCCTGGCCAACCCTACGCGGGAACCCCCGTCCTACCTGTCAAAAAACACTGCAACGTCGACGTTTTCCCTGCCAACATGTACTTTCTCCTCGTCGGCGCTGCGGATCGCGTAGCACGAATGGGACGCGGAGTGCATCGCGCGGGGACGCCTGCTCGTCAACATTAACTTTTTTTGTCATCGACGCTGCGGCCCGTCGGGTTGAGGAGCTGGGCGGGCGGCGAATCAGAATGCCTCAAGCAAGTGCGGTTCGCCGCCGGCGCGCCCGTTGTCGGGCCAACGTAAGAGAGACCTTTGGCAACATTGACCTTTGGTGCGCACAACTCCCAAGAGGAATTCTCTTCCTCCTCAGTTTCTCCATCCCTCCCTCTCTCCCCCCCTCCTCCTCCTCCTCCTCCACCTCCACTCCCTCCTCCTCCTCCTCCTCCTCCTCCTCCTCCTCCTCCTCCTCCTCCTCCTCCTCCTCGTCCTCCTCCTCCCCCTCCTCCATGCGCGGCAGGAGCGCAACGATTGGCGGTGCAACGCGCGTGGCTGGAATGAGACGCGGCGCACTTCGCGCGCTGGACCTGTTGTCGCCGACGATGCAACCTGAGAGGCCGGAGCGGGGCGCGGCGTACATCGCGCGCGGTATTGTTTCTCGTCGACGTTGCTCAACACGCGGCAGGAATAGGGCGCAGTTCATGTCGCGCGATGAACGTCTAGCCGCCCACGATCTAAGATGAGCGACAGGCGTCGGACGCGACGCACTTGCTTCTTACGTTGTGGGAGGGCGGGTGGGAGTGGACGGAGCCCTCTGGCTCGTTCGAAATGGCTAACTTGACCCTCGCCCCCTACCCCTAACCCCTACCCTAACTCCCTAATCCTAACCCTATCACCCTAACCCGAACCCCCGTGACACTGACCCGAACACCCTAACCCTAACCCGACCACCCTAACCCTAACCCCCTAACCCGATTCCTGACCATACAACCCGAATCCGTTGCTATAATAGAGACTGGGGGCACATGTTGTGTTAGTTTTTGAGGGCCCCAGGGTGCCACAGATTTGTTTGGTCCTTAGGGCCATCGGAAGATGAACCAAAAATCCGCGAGGACCTGTGCTCGTAGGCCGATCTCTTACGTCAGGTTCGTATCGTGCCGACTTCGGCGTTGGTTTCTGACACCGCGGGGATCGTTCAACCTTGAACGATCGGCCGTTTACGAGACGTCCAAATCGTTCCACATCGAACGATTCTGCGCCGCCCGCGGCGATCAAAGTTGAACGCCGCTGGCGGGGTCGCCGCCGGTCGACGCGACACGAAGCCACCGTACTTGATGTTCCCCTCTGCGGCTGCATCGGTACCTCACGAGCGGCGAGCATCTCCGCACACACAACCCTCGCAGCCTGGATTCGGGGGGCGCGATTCCCTGCGGATGCGCACGGACGCGTTAACCGCGCGGGGGGCATGCGCGCGAAGAGCGCTCCGCGTATCCGCGGGGTCGCGGCCCAGGGGGCCCTGCCCGCGAGGCCGCGGATAGGGATTTTTTCTCGGCGGCGAGCGACGGGGGGAAATCAGAAGGAGAAGTTGAGCATGAACCGACCGCCCCGGCATTTCTATAGGTCTACCACGAAATGTTCTTCGAACCCAAAGATGTTCTAAGAACATGAGCAATGTTCTTGAACGTGCACCTGAGGTGTTAAAACAAGACAGTCCCAGCCAGAAATGCGGCAAGAACATGTTGGAGAACCACAACAGGTTCTTAGAACGGTAGGCCTATAGGCAGGCCAGGACGCTTTGCCACTGCTTGAGGAGAAGGCCTTCGCGGAAGGTTCGGAAGCACCCTGGCCTGCTGAGCCTTCCCCGAAGACAGACGAAACAAACAACTCCTTCCCAGAGGGATCGAGGGAGCCTCCGAGGAGTCCCGCCGCCTTCTGAGAAGGCCCTCTCCTTCTCGTTTCCCCCCCTCGCTCGCCGACGACGTTCCTAGGAAAAGGGGAAGGAGGAGGAGGAGGAGGAGAAGGAGGAGGGGGAGGAGGAGGAGGAGGAGGAGGAGGAGGGGGCGGAGGAGGGGGAGAAGGAGCAGGAAATAGGGGAGGGACAAATTACATAAACATAAAAACTCGGAGGTCCCCGCGGATCGTTTGGATCCGCGCTGGGCCCCCCTCCCTGGCGCGCGGAGCGCGCCATGGGCGGCGCTGGAGGCGCCGCCAGGCGGGCCGATCCGAGAAATCCGCACGGACCTCCGAGTTATTATGTTTGTCAGTGTTCGTTCCCCTATTTCCTCCTCCTCCTCCTCCTCCCTCCTCCTCCTCCTCCTCCTCCTCCTCCTCCTCCTCTCCTCCTCCTCCTCGTCCCCCTCCCCATCCCTTCCCCCTCCCCCTCCCCCCTCTCCTCCTCCCCCTCCTCCTCCTCCTCCCTCCTCCTCCTCCTCCTCCGCCGCCGCCTCCGCCTCCTCCCTCCTCCTCCTCCTCCTCCTCCTCCTCCTCCTCCTCC